GGCTCTTGCATCACATTTTATGAGAGTTGCAATTATTCAAAATTTTGACCATTTGTGGGGGAGGTACTTGATGGAGTGGACCGATGTTGTCCATTTTCACACCTAAACTAGCACGGCCGCAAATATTAGGATATGCAAAGTTGGAACAAAATCAGATAATCCTTTCTCTTTCTGTGCAAAAAATATTTTTTTGAAAATTTCGACCTTTTGTGGGGGAGGTACCAGAGGGAGTGGACCGATATATTCTATCTTAACACCAGACCTTGGGTTAATATAAATATTGAGATCTGTGAAATTTGAAGACAATCGGACTCTTGCATCACATTTTATGAGAGTTGCAATTATTCAAAATTCTGACCATTTGTGGGGGAGGTACTTGATGGAGTGAACCGATATTGTCCATTTTCACACCTAACCTAGCACGGACGCAAATATTGGTATATGCAAAGTTGGAGCAAAATCGGATTATCCTTTCTCTTTCTGTGCAACAAATTATTTTCTTTGAAAATTTTGACATTTTGTGTGGGAGGTACCAGAAGGAGTGGACCGATATTGCCCATCTCCGAACTCGATCTAAGTTTGACAAAAATATTACGATGTACCAAGTTTGGATCAAATCGGATACTCCCTTCGAGAGTTATCGTGCGCACCAGCCAGCCAGACAGACAGACAGACAGACAGACAGACGGACGGACGGACGGACATCGGTAGATCGACTCCAAATGTTCTGAAACGGATTTGGTCCAAAGAGACCTAGGGTCTAAAACCGTTATTTCGACTAGGCACGTTTTGACCGTATCAAATGATATATACCCTCTGTAGCCATATGGCTGAGGGTATAAAAAATGTTGTCTCAAAGATTTCTAAGGATTAAAAATATTTTTCTTTAATATATCATTACAAGGATTTCAGCGACACAAATATGAATTCTTGAAAAATATTCTCTTAAGGAGTTTCAAGGATTATTTAAAATAAATTTAAGAATTCCCAAGGTTTTTCAGAAATATTTCCAATGATTTTTTTTAAATATTTTCTCAAGGATTTCCAAAGATTATTTAAAAATAATTTCTCAAGGATTTCAAAGGACACAAACGTGCATTCTTGAAAAATATTCTATCAAGAATTTCCAAGTGCTGTTTATAAATATTTTCTCAAGAACTTTCAGATCCTCAATGTTGAATTTCCGAAAAATAGTTCTCAACGATTTTCAAGGATTTTTAATTTTTTTTTTTGGATTTCCAAAGGGTTTTTAGGATTTCCAAGGTTTTTCAAGGATTTTTTAAAAATATTTTCTCAAGAATTTTTTTAATATTTTTTGAAGAATTCTCAAGGATTTTTTATAAAATTGCCCAGGGTTTCTCAGGACACAAACGTGAATTAAAAAAAAAAGTATTTCCTAGGATTAAACATATTTTTTTAATATAATTTTTCACGGATTTTATTGACACAAACATAAATTCTCGAGAGATATTTTAACAAGGATTTTTTAAAAATATTTTTTAGGATTTCCGAGGGTTTTTAAAGATTTTTTCTGGCGGATTTCCAAGGATTTTTTTAAATTTTTTCTCAAGGGTTCCAAGTATTTTTTCAAGGATTTCTAGGGAATTCTAAAAAATATATTTTCTCAAGGATTTCCAAGAATTATTTAAAAATAATTTCTCAAGGATTTCAAGGACACAAACATGGATTCTTGAAAAAATATTTTTTTCAAGAATTTCCAAGTATTGTTTATAAATATTTTCTTAAGAGCTTTCTGGTCCTCTATGTTGGATTTCTAAAAAATATTTGTCAAGGATTTCTAAGGTTTTTTTTTAAATTTTTTTAAGGATTTCTAAGAAATTTTAGAGATATTTTCTCATAGATTTCTCAGATCACAAATGGGAATTTAAAAAAAAATATTCTCTCAAGGATTTCCAAAGACTGTTTCTAAATATTTTCTCACTGAATTCAAAGACACAAACATGGATTCTTGAAATATATTATCTCAAGGATATCCAAGGATACTTTAAAAATATTTTTTTTAGTATTTCCAAGGATTTTTAAAGATATTTTCTCAAATATTTTTTTAAACTATTGTCTCAAGGATTACTCAGGATGCAAGCGTGAATTCTAAAAAAAATATTTCTAAAGGATTTCCAAGAATTATTCAAAAATAATTTCTTAGGGATTTCAAGGACACAACCATGGATGCTTGAAAAATATTCTTTCAAGGATTTCCAAGAAATATTTTCTCAGGAGCTTTCAGATCCTCTATGTTTGATTTCTAAAAAAATATTTTTCAAGGATTTCCAATGGCTTTTAAAGACATTTTCTCAATGCCCTCTAAGAATTTTTTTTAAATATTTTCTCAAGGATTTCCAAGGATTTGTAAAAATATTTTCTCAAGGATTTCTCTAGACACAAATGTGAATTTAAAAAATATATATTTTTTCTCAAGGATTTCCAGAGATTATTTAAAAATAATTTCTTGAATTTAAAAGAAAAAAAATTTTCTCAAGGATTTAAAAAATAAAATAAGGATATTCAAGGGATATTAAAGATATTTTCTCAATGATTTATAAGGATTTTTAAAAAAAATATTTTCTCATGGATTTCCAAGGATTTTTTTAATAATTGATCAGGGATTTCTCAGGACACAAATGTTAATTTAAAACAAAATATTTTCTCAAGGATTTCATGGACACGAAAAATTGTCCAAAAAATATTCTTTTTTGGGTTACGAATATCCATGAAAAAATAACTTAAGAAAATCCTCAATAGTGGCTCTGAAGATCCTTAAACAATTATCCTTGAAAATTCGCATAGGTTGCTCTGAAGGACCTTTAAAAAATATTTCGGAAAATTCTAGTTAGTGTCCCTAAATATGGATAAAGAAATCCTTTAAAAAACATTGAAAAAATCACTTTGATTTGAATTGAAGTCCTTGTAAAATAACTTGAAAATATCCTTAAAAATTGTAGATAGTCCTGCAAAAATTGCTAGACTTAAAATTCTCGTAAAGGTTCCTTAAAAATGCTCCTTTTTGGGCTATGAAGATCCATGAAAAATTGATTTTGAAAAAAAAAATCCTCAATGGCGAACCTGAAGGTCCCTAAACAAGTATCCTTAAAATAAGCATATGTTGCTCTGAAGGACCTTTAAAAAATATTTCGGAAAATACTAGTTAGTGTCGCTAAATATGGATTAAAAAATCTTTTAAAAAATATTCAAAAAAATCACTTTTATTTGAATAGAAGTCCTTGTAAAATAACTAGAAAATATCCTTTAAAATTGTATATAGTCCTGCAAAAATTGTTAATAAAAATGTTCTCGTAAGGGGTCTTGGGCCTTGGCCCTTGAATTCCCTAAAATTCCCCCTATGGATGAAAAAATCCTTAAAAAAATAATCCAAAAAATGCCCTAATAGGGTTATAAAATTTTTTATTAGATCCTCGCTAGAAGCACAGATCCTTGAAAGAATAATTTTGTTTCTACAGGATATCAAAAAAAATATCCTTAAAATGCACATGATGTTCTGAAGGACATTGGAAAATATTTTACTTAAAAATTCCAGTTCGTGTCCCCAAATATGGACCTTAAAGTCCTTTAGAGCATCTTCTACAGAATTTCTTAAAAACCTCCCATAGCTATACTTGAATAAAAAATATTCCAAAAAATCCCGTAATGAGGCTATAAAAATTTCATTATATCATTTCCAAAGTCCTTCAGAACAACATGTGAATTTTAAGGATAATACTTTTTTTAGATCAGTATAGCCATACAGATTCTCAAAAAAATGCCCTTAAAATTCACATGATGTTCTGAAGGACATTGGAAATATATATTTCTCCCAAAATGTAAATCTGTAAGTCCTTTAGAAAAAATTTTAAGGATAATATTTTTTTTACATCAGTATAGCCACACAGATTCTCAAAAAAAATGTCCTTAAAATTCACATGATGTTCTGAAGGACATTGGAAATATATTCCTCCCAAAATGTGGATCTGTAAGTCCTTTAGAATTTTTTTGTTTTTAAATCTTTGTTCAGAACCTCTACTGCCACACAGAATGTCAAAAAAAAAATCCCAAAAATTCGCATAATGTTCTGAAGGACATTGGAAATATTTTACTTAAAAAATCCAGTTCGTGTCCCCAAATATGGTCCTTAAAGTCATTTAGAGCATCTTGTACAAAATTTCTTAAAAACCCCCCGTAGCTATCCTTGAATAAAAAATAAAAATTCGAAAAAAATCCCCTAATAGAGCTATAAAAATTTCATTATATCCACCTCAGAAGCGTAGATCCTTGAAAAAATAATTTTAAGAAACCCCTAAGTCCTTCAGAACAACATGTGATTTTAAGGATAATATTTTTTTTTACATCAGTATAACCACACAGATTCTCGAAAAAATATTCTTAAATTTCACATGATGTTCTGAAGGATATTGGAAATATATTCCTCCCAAAATGTGGATCTTTATGTCCTTTAGAAATTTCTCTTTTAAAATCTTTGTTCAGAACCTGTAGAGCCACATAGATTGTCAAAAAAAATCCTAAAATTCGCATGATGTTCTGAAGGACATTGGAAAATATTTTTCTCAGAAATTCCAGTTAGTGTCCCCAAATGTGAATCAAAAAGTCCTTTAGAAAGTCCTGTGGAGCCCCTTATGAAAAAAAATTCTAAAAAATTTAAAAAAAAAAAATTATTTTCCAGATCTTTTCACTTTTTTTTTGCAGTCCACCCTAATACACAAATTCTATTTTGTTTTGATTTTTTTATGAAAAAAAATATTTAAAAAAAAAATTCAAAAAAAAAATAATTTTCCAGATCTTTTCACTTTTTTTGCGGTCCACCCTAATACACAAATTCTCTTTTGTTTTGATTTTTTTTTTTCAAAATGCATTAATTATTTATTAATTAAAAAGATTTCTTGTTTCTTTGTTTGTCTGCAAAATAATCTCTATATTCGAATTAAATATGTCTCGCCTCATAAATTGCATAATCCTCCAGATCAGTGTTCCCAGAAGTCCATTCAGTTGTCCATTAAAAACTCCTCTTATTCCTTTGATGGATGAGCCTTAATGTATTCGATGGCCTTCAAGATATAGTCTGGGATTGGTGGTGGTGTTGGCAAATATTCGCTGACGGGATGATAACCATTTTCATCAGCCGTATAGGAGACCAGGACGTGTTCACCCTCAGGTGAGACATATTCATAGGATCCATGCATATTTCCATGTTCATCACCGGATGCCTGTTGATGAATGCTATTCGAGGTTTCCAGAGCATAGTCAAAGCCATCGGCACGGACATCGGATTTTAGTTCCTTCACCTCGGCATGGACATCGCTGTCGCCAGCCGCAGCATAGGCAACGAAGAGGGTAAATAAGAGCTGTAAGGATATGAATTAAGGATTATTTTGATATTTTGATATTAAGAATCTCTTTTGCGGAACTTACGAATTTAATCATTGTTCTTTCAATTGGAATCGTAAAACTGTTGACTTTCGATCTCCCAGTCTTGGTATTTATATCAAGAAATTTTTGGGAATTCTTGTCGTTCGGAATAACTGCCCTGTACTGGTTTCTTTGTGAATCGCTCTGCTTCAAACATTTGTTCGGCTGCATTTCTTCTGCTGCTGCAGAGTCTAGAGAAATTTTTAATTATTTTTTTTTGTGTGGGCCTTGAATTACCCCTTATCTAATGAAATTCCATCCATAATTTGCTTTAATTTTTTTATGGCGATTTTTAAATGGCACTTACTATTCCACTAGAATTTCCAATTCAGATTAGAAGATTCTGTTTGGTTTTGGGTTCCGCAGGGGAAGTTTATTGCCCTGTGTCTGCAAAATTTTACCAATGCCAAAAATATTCAAATGAATAATTTCCATAATTTCAAGATCGAATTACATAACTTTCGTAGGGAGATATTAAAAAATAAATAGAGGGAAGTAGGAAAAGCAGATAGGAAATAGGAGAGAATTTTTTTTTATTTTTCAAAATCCAGAAAATCATGCTCCTAAAATTATCCTTCGGTGTAAAGACATGTCTACCAATGAGGGTTTTAGGAATCATCCTCGAATTACATAGCTTACGTGGGGAGACATTTCAAAAAGAGAAGGAAAGAGAGAGAAAAAATTAAAGGATATCAGAGAAAATATTAAATATTGGTATTTTTTTTTTGGCAGGGAAAGTCTCCATGGTTGTGGTTGGAGAAGTCTTTGATTCTTTTTTTTAATTCACGTTTTTGACCTTGGAAGTCCTTGACTTGGGTCCCACCTGAAAAATTTTTGTCTGTGATCTAAAAAGACCTTAAAAAATATTACTAATATTGAAATTCTCGTAAGTCTCAGAAACATGTTTTTAAAAAATCCGTTTTTGACCTTGGAATTCTTTAAGAAAAAAAAAACAATTCTCAAAAAATTTTAATAAAAAAATCTCAGCCTTTCAAATTCTTTGAAAATATTTTTAAAAAGTCTATTTTTTACCTAGGAAGTCCTTGCTTTTTTTTTGACCCTCGACGTCCTTGGAGAAATATTCTTAAAAAAATCAACATGGGTTCCTTTAGAAAATTTTCTTTTTTGTAATTCCAATATTGAGGCTTGGAAAGTTTTGAGCGCATATTTTCAAAAAAAAAAAAAAATAATAATAATAAAATAATAATAATAATAAATAAATAAATAAAATCCTGGAGATAATATATTTAAGAGATCCAATATTGACGCCTTGAGAAACAAAAAATTGTTTTTAATCCTTGAGAAAATATTTTAAAAAAAAATATTGAGAAAATCCTAGGTTGTCTTGGAAATCTTTGAGAATTTTCTTTTAAAGAATCCTTGGAAATGCTTGAAAAATATCCTGAAAAAAATTTGCATTTGTGTCCTGGGAAGTCCTTCAGAATATAAATTAAAAAAAAATAAATTACAAAATATAAATTAAAAAATATAAATTAAAAAGTCAAAGTTGAGGTCTTGAGAAATAAATCAAAAAAAAATCCTTTAAAATCTTGAGATGATATTTTTAAAAATTTTGTGATTCACGTTTGTAGTCCCTTTGGATTCTTTTTAAATGCTTGGAAATCCTTGGGAAATTTAAAAAAAAAAGTACATTTTGGGCATTGGAAATCATTGAGAATTATTTTTTTTTTTAAATTTAACAGTTCTTGCAAAAAGATTTATAAAAAGTCCTTGGAAATCCTTGAGAAAATATTTTTCAAAATCCATGTTTGTGTCCTTAAAATGCGTTAGAAATACTTTTGTTCTATAAAAAAAGAAAAGGCCTGAAGCTATGGGAAATTTTTGTGGGGAGCTATCTAAGCCTATTTCCTAAGGAACAGAAGGTAATAAGGAGTTTTTCTCCTTGCGCCAAAGAATAATCTTAGGATTATGATATGCCCCAGGAACTCATTTTAAAATAAATATTTTTCTAAGGAAAATATTTTTCTTTTCATAATTTCCAAAGCACGAAAAATCAAGCCCCACTTCCATAGTTTCCATGAAGACCTAAAATAAGTTGTTGCAATTGAAAACGGTAATATTGCCATTGGTACAAAGAAATCTAGATATTTTTTTTTTGGTTTATTCTCATATTCTAACTTTCAGAGCATACTTTCAGGCGCAAATTATTTATGTCAGCCGACTTAAAGTCTTGTCCCTTTAACTTTCAGTATCTATTTAGTTTCATCTAATCTTTTAAACAATTCAGTGATATCTTATAAAGTAAAATTAATTCTTCAATTTATTCAGCCTAATTTTCTTATTTTTTTATGTTTATGTAGCTAAGTCAAGCGCCATAATTTTTATATGTGTTTTAAATTTTTTTGACTGAAAGCAAAAAGTATCGGAAATAGCATCAAATTTAAGAATAAGTTCGGATTTGTTCAAATTGGTCACCTTTGGCACGATGCATGGCCTTCAAACGGTCAATGAAACCGTCACTAGCTGCCCGAATGTTGCTCTGTCGGATTTTTTTGCCCACTCCCGGCGAAGCGCTTGCTTGAGTTGATCGAAACTTTGGTATTTTTTAGTGCCAACTTTGCTTTCCAAAATACTCCAGACACAATAGTCCAACGGATTAGTATCCGGAGATTTTGTGGGCGATTGTGAGCTGAAAATGAAGCGAGGAACCTCATTTTGTAACCATTCTTGGGTGGCGCGTGCTGATTGCGATGGTGCTGACTTCTGTTGGAATGTCCAAGGTCTGCGGCCAAAATGTTTGCATGCCCAAGGCTTCAATGCACCCTCCAGAATATTTTCTCGATAATTAATTTTGCAATTTTTAAGTATAAAGTATTATATCATAATTATTTAGATCCAATACGAAATTGACAATATTGACCCATGCCCTAAGAACCTACTCCACAGAGGGTCAACAATTTGAATAATCATAGCAGAGGTCAAAATATATTTAAATAATCGAACATTGGCTGAGGGTATACATCTGTCGGCAAAGCTGACTGATACTTTTTCAATTATTTTCCTTTCGTTAATTGGGCCTATGGAGGTTAATAGTAGGCTTATCTGAGGCTTATCGTATCTCTTAGAAATTATTCTTTCACAAAAATGTAGCGACAGAATAAAGCCGAGCTGCTAAATTTTCTTCGTTTTCCTAAATTCTCAATAAAAATTAATTCAATAGTTTATCTTTAATTTTTTATTTTCAAATATCCATAAAAATTTTATATCCATATACCTTAAATACGATTCCAGCAGTTGCTACCGATTTAGCCACCGGCTATCAATACAGATTTTTAAAAATAAGAAATCTTTATTTTTTTTTTAATTTTTTTTATTTTAATTCCTACTTAATTCTCGCTTTCAATTCCAGTCCATTTTAATCCATATACCTTAAATACGACTTCAACAGCAGCTTGTGATCTACTTACCAAGTTCCCTCCCAATAATAAAAATTCTCCAACAATTTTCTTTAACTTCTTTTTTTTTTGTATTTTTTTTATTATTTTTACATTCCGTAACAGTTTTGTCTACCTTCAAAATTCCAGTCCATTTTTTTCCGCGCCCCCTTATTCCGAATGCGAATGAGTTTTAATGTATTCAATGGCCTTCAAGATATAATCTGGGATTGGTGGTGGTGTAGGCAGCCATGCACTTTCGGGATGATAACCATTCTCATCGGCTGTATAGGTGACCTTAACATGTTCGCCCTCTGGTGTCAGATATTCGTAGGCTCCCTTCATGTTGCCATGTTCATCGCCGATGGCACTTTGACGGCTGTGATGTTCCAATTCAACATTCGTTTCAAAGCCATCAGCGCGTACATCGTTCAGATAAGTCTTGACAACAAGGTCGTCGGCAACAACGAGAGCCAAAATAGCGCTGAAGACAAGCTAAAATGATATTTTCTTTTAGGTAATGGGTGTGGGGGAAGGATATGGCAGGATAAAAATGGGAACTTACAAATTTGAACATTTTTTTTTTTTTTTTTTTTTGGAAATCTTGGAAGATATTAAGATCTATGACTAGAACTGATTTGCTAACCCATCACGGGCGAGCTTTTAAAGCAAATCTTTACGGGAGAAAATCAAACTGGAACAAAACAGAACTAACGGTTATTTCCTGACATTTAATATTTACCGTTCGCTGATCAGATATTTCCGTTGGCCTATTAGAAATAATCAAACAATCAAACTAGTCCTAATTATAGGCCAGCCGACGTCAGTTCAAAATCCACCTCTTGGTTGGTAATTGAAAATACAATAAATTTGCTTTGCAGACGGAGCAAATCAAAATTTAAATTAGCCGGCCAAAGCAAACTTGTTCCCTAAAAAAAGAAAAGGTAAAAGAAATGCTCTGCAGAATTTTTGTTTAAAAGCCCAGCTACTGTTCGAATCCAATCAGTTTCAAGCAAAGCCTTCATTTGTGACACAAACTAAAACCTCTATTCCAAAATGTTCAAGTGGGTAAGTTTGAGCCAAGGAAATCGCATGGCGATAAGGGAAATATTTTTGTAATCCTTTAAATTTCCCAACCTAGATTGTCTTCAGCGCCCTTTTGTCGCTCGTTTTTGCCGACGACCTGGTTGTCAAGACTTATCTGAACGATGTACGCGCTGATGGGTTTGAAACGAACGTTGAATTGGAACATCACAGCCGCCAAAGTGCCATCGGCGATGAACATGGCAACATGAAGGGAGCCTACGAATATCTGACACCAGAGGGCGAACATGTCAAGGTCACCTATACAGCCGATGAAAATGGTTATCATCCCGAAAGTGCATGGCTCCCTACACCACCACCAATCCCAGATTACATCTTGAAGGCCATTGAATACATTAAGGCTCATCCTCATGCAGAATAAAAGGGGCGGGGGGAGACGAAAATGGACTGGAACTTAAAGAGGATACGAGAAACTAATGCGAATTAAAAAAATATTAAAAAAACGACAATAAAAATAAGTTAAAGAAAGTTAAGGAAAGATTTTTTTATTTTGAGAATTTTTCATTGATTGCCAGAGTTAAAACCAATAGCTATTTCTGGAGTCGTACTTAAGGTATATGGATCAACAAGGAGTGGAATTTAAAGGGAATACAAAAAACTGTGGAAAACTGCAATGTTAACAAAAAAATCGGAAAAAAATTTGGAGTTTTTCTTATTTTTAAAATATAATAGTCGTTTGTGATAGCCGGCTGCTAAATCAGTAGCAACTGCTAGAGTCGTGTTTAAAGTATTTGGAAAAAAAAAATGGACTAGAATTTGAATTTGGAACTCGAAGCTATAATGAATTTGAAATAAAAAATAATACGAGGCAAAAAAGGAAAATGTTTATAACCGTTGGAGTCGCATTCAAGGTATATGGATTCGGTACTAATCTGTGGGAGGGAGAAGTTAATCCAGAGTAGTTATTTGTTGCAGTTGCATTGGTTAAATCAGTGTCTCTCTCTCTCTCTCTCTCTCTCTGTCTGTGGAATGGTTGGAATGAAGAATGTTGTTGAATAGCATCTATTGTAAATTTAGTTAAAAGTAAACTGTACTGCTCTTGGGAAGAAATAGATGGAAGAGTGCCCTCCCTGCTGCATTCGTCCAAGATTTCGAGGCGGTCATCTAGTTCTCTGCAGTAGATATGAGGTTATATCTCCCTCTCTCTCTCTCTCTCTCTGTGGAATAGGAGGAGAGAAATATGTTGTTGGATAGCATCTATTGTAAATTTGACTCACCATTGGAGTCGTATTTCAATTATAGGGATTCGATACTATACTTCGGAGTGCACCTTTCCCGCCTCGTTCCTCAAAAATCTCGCAGCGGACACCTGATTCTCTGGACTCGAACAGAGTAGTTTTCTAGTGACATTGATTGTACTGTTTGTTCAAGTGGATCGTGGATTTTTTAAAAATATATTTGTAGGTCAAATATAGTCATGGATTTATTAAAAATTATTTTGAAGGTCTATTATAGTCGTAAATTTTTGGATTTTTTAAAAATATTATTAGAAGGTCTAAGAATTTTTTTAAATTATTTTTTAAAAATATTTTTCGAAAGCCTATAACAATCTTGAAATCTTTAAAAATATTTTTTCAAGATGGATTTTTTTTGTTCAAATATTTTTCCAAGGCCTATAATAGTCGTGTATTTATTAAAAATATTTTTCGAAGGCCTATAACAGTTGTGGATTTTTAAAAAAATATTTCTTCTAGGTCTATAATAGTCAAGAATTTTTTAAAAATATTTTTCGGAGACCTATAACAATCGTGGATTTTTTTTTTTAAATATATTTGTAGGTCAAATATAGTCGTGGATTTATTAAAAAATATATTTGTAGGTCAAATATAGTCGTGGATTTATTAAAAATTATTTTGAAGGTCTATTATAGTCGTGAATTTTTAAAATATATTTTTTGCAGGCTTACAACAATTGTGGATGTTTTAAAAATATTTTTTCAGGGCCAATAATAGTCGTGGGTGTCTCTCTCTCTGTGAAACGGGGTGGAGGGAAATATGTTGTTGGATAGCATCTATTGTAAAGTTGACTGGTGCCGTATTTAAATTATATGGATTCGGTACACTACACTTTGGGAGTAATTGGCCTCTAACCCTAGGGGTAGGTATAAATGCATTCATCTCGCCAAGTTCTTGCAAGATTTTGCGGCGGTCACCAGTTTCTCTGGACTCGAAAAGAGTAGTTCTTCTAGTGACATTGATTTTACCTTTTGTTCAATTAGTGTCTCTATCTCCGTGAAACGGGGAGAGGGAAATATGTTGTTGGGTAGCATCTATTGTAAATTTGGCTCACCATTGGGGTCGTTTGGGAGTATTTTTCTTATAAGGCTAGGGTTATATACGAATGCACCCTCCTCGGAAAGGATTTTGGATATAAGTGATCATAATCTTATTGAGGACGGCGTTTCAAAGTAATACAGAAAAATCCAGGGATTAGAAGTAAAAACAAAAGACATGGGCTGGGATCAAAATTCGTACTTCGTTAGGTGAGTTACCATGCTAGTAACATGTCCCTTAGACAAGCGAAAAAGGTAAGGTCAAATGGGGAACCCGTGAGCTTCTTCTGATGCGGAGGTGTTTATGGCTGAGGTATTGTGTATGGATCCTTGCCTACCTTAGAACATGCATGAATGTATTGTCTAGAAGTAACAAAGACATATTTTTTGAACTCGGTGACTCCAACATTTCCTCCGCTGGAAGAAGAACGTCTTTACACGGATATATAAACGTGAATTTTATCCCTGTCGGCCCTTTTCTCCCTCTCGTTATATTCTTTAATCCTAATGGCATTGTATTCTAATTTGTTACCTTTTTGATGACATGGCATGGAATAACCGTGGGTTTTTTCTATAATATATTTTGGAGGCCTGTAATAATGGTGGATTTTTAAAAATATTTTTTCAAAATCCTATAACAATCGTGGCTTTTTTAAAAAATATTTTTCAGGACCTATAACTATCGTGGATTTTTTAAAAAATATTTCTTGTAGGTCTATAATAGTCGAGGATTTTTTAAAAATATTTTTCGGAGACCTATAACAATCGTGGATTTTTTAAAAATATTATTAGAAGGCCTACGGTTTTTTTTTTAATTATTTTTTAAAAATATTTTTTGAAAGCCTATAACAATCTTAAAATCTTAAAAAATATTTTTCCAAGACCTATAACAATTGTGGATTTTTAAAAATATTTGTTTGAACTCATATAATAATCATGGATTTTTTTTTTAAATATTTTTGTTGGGTCCTATAATAGTCGTTGATTTTTTAAAAATATTTTTTAGGGCCTATAACAGTCGTGTATTTTTTAAAAAAAATTCCAAAGTACTATAACAATTCTAGATTTTTAAAAAATATTTTTAAGGGCCTTTATTAATTGTGGATTTTTTAAAAATATTTTTAGAAGGTCCATAACAATCGTGAATTTTTTTTTTCTAAATATTTTCCGAAAACCTATAACCGTCTTGGATTTTTTAAAAATATTTTTTCAGGGCCTATAACTATCGTGGATTTTTTAAAAAATATTTCTTGTAGGTCTATAATAGTCAAGGATTTTTTAAAAATATTTTTGGGAGACCTATAACAATCGTGGATTTTTTAAAAATATATTTGTAGGTCAAATATAGTCGTGGATTTATTAAAAATTATTTTGAAGGTCTATTATTGTCGTGATTTTTTTTAATATATATGTTTTTTGCGGGCTCACAACAATTGTGGATGTTTTAAAAATATTAGTCGTGGTTTTTCTAAATATTTTTAGAATGCCTATAACAATCGTGGATTTTTTAAAAATATTATTAGAAGGCCTACGGATTTTTTTTAAATTATTTTTTAAAAATATTTTTTGAAAGCCTATAACAATCTTGAAATCTTTAAAAATATTTTTCCAAGACCTATAACAATCGTGGATTTTTAAAAATATTTGTTTGAACACATATAATAATCATGGATTTTTTTTAAATATTTTTTTTTGGGTCCTATAATAGTCGTGGATTTTTTAAAAAAATTTCCAAAGGACTATAACAATTCTAGATTTTTAAAAAATATAAATTGTGGATTTTTTAAAAATATTTTTAGAAGGTCCATAACAATCTTGGATTTTTTTTTCTAAATATTTTCCGAAATCCTATAACCGTCTTGGAATTTTTAAAAATATTTAAAAAAAAAAATTATAACAATCGTGGATTTTTTTTAAATATTTTTTGTAGGTCTATAATAGTCAAGGATTTTTTAAAAAATATTTTTCAAAGACCTATAACAATCGTGGATTTTTTCAAAATATTTTTGAAGGTCTATTATAGTCGTGGATTTATTAAAAACTAATTTTAAGGTCGTGGATTTTTAAATAATTTTTTTTTTCAGAGCCACAAACGTGGTCTTTTAAATAATTTCTTTTTCAGAGCCACAAACGTGGATTTTTAAATAATTTTTTTTTTTCAGAGCAACTAACGTGGATTTTTAAATAATTTTTTTTTTCAGAGCTACAAACGTGGATTTTTGAATATTTTTTTTCAGAGCCACAAACGTGAATTTTTAAATAACTTTTTTTCGGAGTCATAAACGTGGACTTTTAAATAAATTTTTTTCAGAGCCACAAACGTGGATTTTTAAATAATTTTTTTCAGAGCCACAAACGTGGATTTTTAAATATTTTTTTTCAGAGCCACAAACGTGGATTTTTAAATAATTTTTTTTCAGAGCCACAAACGTGAATTTTTAAATAATTTTTTTTCAGAGCCACAAACGTGGATTTTTAAATACTTTTTTTCAGAGCCATAAACATGGATTGTTAAATAATAATTATTTTAGATTTAAAAAAAAAAATAAAATATTTTTTTCAGAGCCACAAACGTGGTTTTTAAATAATTATTGTAGATTTAAAAAAAATTAAAGCATTTTTTCAGAGCCACAAATGTGGATTTTTTAAATAATTTCTCAAACATTTTTCAGAACCATAAACTTGGAATGTTAAAGTTTTTCTCAAAGCCATAAACGTGGTTTTGTAAGGAATTTTTCGAAGATTTTTTTCAGAACCATAAACGTGAGTTTTTTAAGGATCGTAAACGTGTTGTTGGACGAATTCTGAGAATTTTGGTTTTATGAACGATAAATGCAGATTTTTTTATAATTTTTTCAGAGCCATAAACCTAGGCTCTTGGCTTGAACGAATTCCCTCCACAATAATTTCCAGATTTTTTTTTTTTTTGGTTTTTTTGGCAGTTGTTTTTCAACTCTTTATTCAAAGCATCGTTCACATATATACAGGTTAATATATACAAAATCCTCTCCCCAACTCGGAGCCCTAATGTTCTGGATCAGCTGCTGGTGGATGGGCCTTGATGTATTCCAAAGCCTTGAGAATGGCCTCTGGAATTGGTGGTGGTGTTGGTAGGATATCACTTTCGGGATGATAACCATTCTCATCGGCCACATAGGTCACTTTGATGTGTTCACCTTCGGGTGAGACATACTCATAGGAACCGTGCATATTGCCATGTTCATCGCCGGCAGCCTCCTGATGGATGCTGTTGCTGGTGTCCAAAACAAAATCGAAACCATCGGGACGGACATCGGATTTAAGTTCCTTGATTTCGGCATGGACCTCATCGTCGGAGGCGGCAGCAAAGGCCAACAGGGCAAGGAGTATGAACTGAGAGGATGTTAGGAAAATTAGTTATTAGTCCTTTTTCTTGGGATCCTTGTGTTTTACTTACATATTTCATCTTCAGTTTGTTTTTGTTCTGTGATCTCCTAAAAATAACTGATGTAGTTTTAAGATTTATTTGAGGTTTTTATATTAAATTTCGAAATCTGATGGCTTTGCTGTGTTTATGCCTTTTTTGCGAAGTCTATCTTCGTAAAATTACGTTTTATTAATAATTAACGTTTTTTCGGATTTTTTGTTTTAATTGAAATCAGAGTTCACAGCCAGCTGGCTGGAGGTTGCAAAGCTTCAAGGAAAGATTTTGAATTTTTATTTTTGCGTTTTTTTTTTTTTTTTGGTTTTGTGGTAAATGTTGCAAATCGTGTTTCATTAACATCTTATTTAAGGAATTAATAAATAATTTAACATTTAAAACGAAAAAGATATCCATCTTTGGCCGGTTTACTTGCATCAGCCAGTTTGGGTCAAGGGCGTAGCCAGGGGACTTTCTGGGAAGTGTTTGAAAATGGCAAGAACTTGTCGGGACATAATCTAAAAAAAATCTGCCTTTAACCCCCCTTCTTCATTGGTGGGTTTTTTACCCCGTTCCTGCTCTGCTGATCAAAGCCATTTATTGAAATATCCACGTTTAAGTAAAATTCGAAGAAATCCACATCTGAGTAAAATTTTAAAAAATCTACGTTTGAGAATATTTTGAAAAAATCCACGTTTGAGAATATTTTTAAAAAATTCACGCTTGAGTAAAATTTTAAAAAATCCACATTTGAGTAAAATTTAAAAAAAAATCCACGTTTGAGTTAAATTTAAAAAAATCCACGTTTGAGAATACTTTAAAAAAAATCCACGTTTGAGTAAAATTTAAAAAAATCCACGTTTGAGTTAAATTTAAAAAAATCCACGTTTGAGAATATTTTCAAAAAAAATCCACGTTTGAGTTAAAGTTAAAAAAATCCACGTTTGAGAATATTTTAAAAATTCCACATTTGAGTTAAATTTAAAAAAAAATCCACGTTTGAGAATATTTTTAAAAAATCCACGTTTGAGAACATTTTTCAAAAAAAAACGTTTGAGAATACTTTTAAAAAAATCCACGTTTGAAAATATGTTTCAAAAAACACGTTTTAGAAAACTTTTAAAAAATCCACGTTTGAGAATATTTTTAAAAAATCCACGTTTCAAAATATTTTTAAAAAAATCCGCGTTTGAAAATATGTTTCAAAAAACACGTTTGAGAAAACTTTTAAAAAAATCCACGTTTGGGAATATTTGTACTCGTCGGGACATAATAAAAAAAAAAAAACTTCCTTTAACCCCCCTTCTTAATTGGTGGGCTTTTTTACACCGCCCCTGCTCTACCGATCAAGGCCATTTATCTTCAATGCAAAAGTTTAGAAATTACGGGATATATATTTTCCTCCTCTCCTTATTCTTCGCCTTCTCCGCCCCTCATTCACAATAATGTAAACGTAATTATTATTCGGTACACGTTTAACATTAACGAGGAATCAATAACGTGGAATTTGTTGACCTTTTTCCTGGAACATATTTTTCCATTTGTTATTGGGAATTGGAGCAATTAATTTGGCATTTTGAGTATTGAGTAATGAATGCAGGCAAATTTCGCTTTTGTGTCATTCCTAATTGACATTATTAATAAAAGAAATACAAAAAAAAGAACGCTGAAGTTATGAATGAATGAATGCAAATGCTGGGATGGAGGGAGAGAGAGAGGGAGATTGGTATCAACATTACGTGGGCAGAGGGCAGTCGGCATTTAGTCAATTTCACTTTGAAGATATAAGCTTGAAAAGGAACAATGAACTGAAAAAAGGGAAAGTAAAATTGGAAAAAATTAAAAATGTTTGTTTTGAAAAAAACGACAAAAAAAATTTTATGTGAGGAAATAATTCTCAATCACATTAAACTATCACACAAACCTTCATCATTCTTCTCTACATTTTAGCATGCCATCCAATGGAGGACTCCTATAGGAATTCGTTTGGATTCTAGAAAAAATCTTAGGCCATCTCAAATCGTATTTCTTTAACTTTTAATTGTATTTGTGGAATATATTTGCATTGCCACAAATAAATTTTTGTAAATTATTCAATTATAATTGAAAAACCTGTTCAGACAAGTGATATTTTTGGACAAGACATTAAAAATAAAATTGAATATCAGATACTCCCTCAAAAAAAAAAAATCACGTTTGTGTTTCTTAGAGCCCTTAAGAAGATTATTAAAAGATCTACGTTAACGGGGTAGAAAAAAACATTTTCAAAATTCAATTACATGAATTCGGAAAATTCTTAAAAAAATCTATGTTTAAGGTTGGAAAAAGTTTTTCAAAAATCCATGTATATAAATTCGGAAGAATTCCGAAAAAAAAACTTAAAAATTCACATTTGTGGCTTTGGAAAAAGATCTTCAAAAAAACACAGAAAAATTCAAGTTCTTGTTCATGTCACTGAAAAAATATTTTCCACGATTATGGCTCTAAAAATATTTTTCAAAAATCCATGATTATGGTTTTGAGAATATTTTAAAAAAATCCACGTTTGAGAATATTTTTAAAAAATCCATGATTTTGGCTTTAAATATATTTTTAAAAAATTCACATTTGAAAATATTTTTTTAAAAATCCCTGACTGAGAATATTTAAAAAAAAGTCCACGTTTGAGAATATTTTTAAAAAAGTCCACGTTTGAGAATATTTTTAAAAAATCCACGTTTGAGAATATTTTCCAAAGAAAAAAAAACGTTTGAATATATTTTTAAAAAATTCACGTTTGGGAATATTAGAAAAAAAATACATTTGACAATATCTTTAAAAAATCCACGGTTAAGAATATATTTCAAACATCCACTTATTTAAAAAAAAAAATCACGTTTGAGAATTTTTTTAAAAAATCCACGTTTGAGAATGTTTTAAAAAAATCTACGTTTCAGAATATTTTTTAAAACCACGTTTTGAGAATATATTTCAAACATCCACTTTCTGAAAATATTTTTAAAAAATTCACGTTTGAGAATGTTTTTTCAAAAATCCACGTTTCAAAATATACTTTTCTAAAAGCCACGTTTAAGAATATGTTTCAAACATCAACATCCTGAGTATATTTAAAAAATCCGCGTTTGAGAATATTTTTAAAAAAATCCACTTTTAAGAAAATTAAAAAAAATCCACTTGAGAATATTTAAAAAAATCCACGTTTGAGAATATTTAAAAAAAAATCACGTTTATGGCTCTGAAAATATTTTTTTTTAAATCCACGTTTAGTAATTGAAAAAAAAATATTTAAAGTCCTCGTTTATAGTTCTGAAAATTTTTTTTTTAAATCCACGTTTAATGATAGAAAAAAAATTATTTAAAAATACACTTTTAACGATTGAAAAAAAAAGAATTATTTAAAAAATCCACATTTAACTATTGAAAAAAAAAAATATTTAAAAAAATCCACGTTTAATGATTGAAAAAATTATTTTAAAAATCCACGTTTATGGATTGAAAAATTATTTTGAAGAATCCACGTTTAAAAATTGATATTTCCTCAGAAAAACTATTAATGAATCTATGATTAAGGCTCAGATATGTCTCCCCAAAAAATCCTTAAAAGTTACAAAAAGGCTTTTTTGTTCCCTCAAACCTTAAAAATATTTATAGTTCCGACAATACTTCATAAAAAAATATTCTATCAGAAACAAAAATCCGGGTAAGGCTGAAATAAAGCTCCGGTATCCCAAAAATTATTGAAGAAAAAATTCAAAAAATCTACTGAGAGTCCTTTTGAAAATATTCTGAACGAAAAAAATCGACGTTGAGCTTCTTAAAGCCATTGAGGAAGTTTTTTGAAACAATTTACTTAAAGTCCTTGAGAAATGTAAAAAAAAAACATCATTAAGTTCTTGGGAAAATATTTTAAAAAAATCCACGTTTAAAGTTCTGACAGTCCTTGAGAAATTTAAAAAAATCAGCGTTTAAGGCCTGAAAAAAATGGTCAAATAAATCCACGAGATTTTTTTGAATTACATTCTCAAAAACATTGGCATTCTTAAATTTTTTTATAAAAAAATCGCGATAATCCACGAAGAAGTCCCTGCGAATTTTATTTTTAATTCCACATTGATGGCTAAGTCTCTGTGAAAACATAACCTAGGTTTCGGAATCAATCCTCATCAGTTCCCTTGTTTTTTGTCTGGGATATTCTCCCCAGAAGTTATTTTAAAATTATTTTTAAAATATAGAAGTTTATGGTTCTGAAAGTCCTTGGTTATTCCTAATTGTAAAAAAATAAAATTCACGTTTATGACTCAGAATTTCCGAAAAAAAAAAAATTAAAATTTGCGTTGAAGGCCCTTAAAATACTTAAAAAATATATTCAAAAATCCACATTTGTGGCCTGGAAGATCCTTGAGAAAATATTTTTAAGAATCCACGCTGAAGACTTTTAAAATCCTTAAGGAATTAAAAAAATCCACGTTTGTGGCCTAGGAGATTCTCCAGAAAACATTTAACAAATCCTCCTTTGTTGCCTTGGAAGATCCTTGAGAAAATAATTTGAAAATCCACTTTTGAAGCATTGAAAGATCCTTGGGAAAATATTTCAAAAAATTCTCGTTAAAGCTGTTTTTGAGGAAATTTTGAAAAGTTTCAATTTGTTGGCCTTGACACTAAATATTCTAAGCATTTGAATTTTTCTAGCCTTGGAAATCCTTGAAAAAAAAATTCTTTAAAATTCAATCCCACAACTCAGCTTCAAAAATATTTAAGAACAATAATCCCCGATCAAATTATGTTCTCAGGTGAATCATATTATCGGATTCCCTCAAACTGTGTAGTAAAACTGCATTCTAAACTAGATTCCTTGTTTCTAAAATAAGTTAAGAAACTACTGAATTGTGACCCAATTAATAAACCTGATTTGGAAATACTCCACAATGAAAGCATGGATCTAATTAACATAAGAACACAAATGGCTACCTCACAACTTTCATTCAAAATAAGTTATAAATTATGATCACACTATGTTTTTGTTTATCGCAAAATAGTATCGAAAACAAGAACAGAAGTGTTACGAATAATAATTGTTTTGATTGGAATCGTCTTTAGAATTCGAGACTAAAAACTAACTGGTTTTTTGGGTGTTCTGAATTATTTTTAACTGTTAATTTTCAATTGCAAAATTTCTTTGTTTTTGAAATGTTAAA